AAAAAAAAAAAAAAAAAAAAAAAAAAAAAAAAAAAAAAAAAAAAAAAAAAAAAAAAAAAAAAAAAACCCAGAAGCACGACATGAAATTAGAAGTCGTGAAAATAAAGTAATAGCAAATGGACAATCCCTCTCGTACATTAGACGTGACAGCTCTTATGATCATAGTGCGATTAATAGTTCTTACTCTAAGATTAAAAAAAATCAAGCTTTCCTTGAGAGATATGAAAGAATGTACAAGGCATATAAGAAAATCAGTCCCATAAAAAGGGATTACAATTCATAGAACCTGGTTATTGCAGTTGAGGGGGGTGGTGAAAGAAGCCTCGGTAAGACACAATGGATCACAATTTATTAATGGAAAGCTAACCAAGAAGATAGAAATGGATAAAGAAACTAAAAGATAAAAAATAATGAAAAATAGATTGCAAGAACTCTAACCTTTTAGATCAATTGACAGCCCAGAGATAGGCTTACTATCATTAGCTTCAGCCATTGCTTTGGTTACAATTCTCTCATTTTTCACTGAAGACGAGACGAACCTCTGCTGGAAAAATGGTAAAGATGATATATTGCTAGAACTCGAAAGCTTAGCGAATGATGGAGCTTTAGAATTGCCACTAAGGGTAGTTCCAAATGGCTTGAAGCCTTTCCTTGAGGGCAATTGGTAGTGTTTTAGTGTCGCTATCTGAATGTTAGAAGCTGCAGCTGCCATCTTCAGGAACTGGTATCTCACAGAAGAGAATCGAGATCTGCCCAATTTTAAGCTATGAGAACAACAAGGAGCTCAAGCTTCAATGTTAAATAAAAGACTTTTTCACTTATAGGAAGTTGATTGGAGGCGGGAAAAAAAATATTGTTCTAACTTGGATATTTTTTAATGTCTCAACAGACAACTTAAAATAGAACTCAAGATTCTGTGTTTTCTAGCTATGTTTAGTTGTTTAAAAATTAGGATAATTTTTAGAAGCAATCCACTAATATAACAAATATTCACGATCCTAAGTGCCAAATTTCTACAAGAAATGCCAAGCTATAATTCAGTTCCTCTCAAATATTAATGACCCTGATAAATTAGCAAAGGACCAAACCTGTAAATCTCGATATAAAAAACAAACTCATCTCTAAACAAAAAGACAGAATTTTCTAATTACATTGGTTTTTCTTATCCCCAACTACTAACTTTCCCCAACATTATTCAGGAAGAAAAATATTAGCATCGCTATGGAAGATGAACAAGCTTTCAGTGGCATAACAAAAATTAATTGCTCAGTCAACAAATCGCTTAAACCAATTTGTCATAGTAAGCTAACACAGACAAGAGACACGCTCCATGAATCCAAGAAATATATCGAACTTTATCTACATAACATTACTCGCATTGGGAAACAGAAATTAAAGAGAGTAACAAAATCGCAATTATCAAAACCCATAGATCTACCAGTTGAGGTTGGACCAGAAAATAAAAACGAAATATAATCAACAAATGGTGGAAACAAGCTTCAGTGTCTGGAGCCACTGAAATGACATTGAGAAACTGCCGATTACACTTAAAAGATGAGAAGAATTGCTTACATTTTTGCGACAGAAAACGCCAATGCAGAGAGAAGGGGATTTGGAACAGTTAAAGAGAAGGCCAGGGTTTTCCCGGAGAGAAATCAAACAGAATTAAATGGGTTGGAAACAAGAACGGTGGAGGTTGCAGATTATAGGAGTTTCGATGATAACAAAGATGGAAAGGGCTTCGAAAATGTCGACAATCGTTAGGTAGATCCTGCCTTCACTGTGCTCTCAGTTTTCGCTTTTAGTTTTCTTTTTTTCTTTTTCAAAAAATTATTTTATTTTATTTTTCAAATAAACCATTCTTCCTTTGTATTAATCGCCTAATTTTTTTTATAATACAAATTATTAATACTTTTTCATCAATAACCAATTGATACAAATAGTTTTTATGGTCGGAGTCCACGACCGCGTGTCAAATTGATCTGATGCATAGTTTTTAAATGAAATTCTAACGAGTCAAGTCCAATGCTAGCAAATATTATCATTTATATTTTTGTGTTTTCGGACTTCTCCTCAATGTTTTTAAAAAGCTCTGCTAGAGTTTCCACATCCTTATAAATAATGCTTTTGTTCCCCTCTTTAATCAATAAAATTGATAATGCTTTTGTTCCCCTCTTTAATCAATAAAATTGATGTCATGGGTTCACTTAATTTTAAACGACAAAATTGAAATAAAGAGAAATTGGTCACATTGAGGTAGGTGACCTTATTATTAGAGTTGGGTAGTTGAGTGATGTATGACGAGGCATAACCCATAGTCCCTATGTACACCATGTTGTTTATGTTGTGTATGTGTTCAATGTAACGACATATGAATAATTGTGAGATTCTATATGGATTCGAGAGAAAAATAAGTGTCAACAGATTCTACTTTAAAACAAAACATTGTTGGTAAAAGTGTGAAAAGTTTTATAATAATGTTGAAAGTAGATGCATTTTAAGAATGTTGAGCGGGAGCCGTCTGGCTGGCTGGCGAGACCGTGAAAGGTGTGGTCTTTGAGGATGAATAATGGAAGTTGGCAACACAAGCAAGCGCTGGCTGGTGATTCAGTCGAGAACCATTGACGAGTGTTCGGTGCAGTTACAATACCAACATCAAAAGGCTTCGAAAATAGCTGCCACGTTTCACAGTGACCTGCAGCTGCTGCTGCTTTTAAATAAACAAGCTCTCAGTGCAAAATTCCGGCACATACCGATACCTGCCATGGGAGAAAAGGGCGTTCATGAGCGAGTTCCTCACGCAAAGCCTCCTTTCACTCTCACCCAAATCAAGAAAGCCATTCCTCCCCACTGCTTCCACCGCTCTCTTCTCCGTTCCTTCACCTGCTTACTTTCCGACCTCGCCTCTGTTTCTCTGTTCTCCTACCTCGCCATTGCCCATTTCCGCCTTATCCCCTACCCATTCCCCTACATTGCATGGCCCCTTTACTGGGTTTTCCAAGGCTGCACCCTCACCGGCATTTGGGTCATTGCTCATGAGTGCGGCCACCATGCTTTCTCCGACTACCAATTAATCGACGACATCGTTGGCTTCTTCCTCCACTCTGCTCTCCTCGTCCCCTACTTCTCTTGGAAATACAGTCACCGACGCCACCACTCCAACACCGGCTCCCTCGAACGAGACGAGGTCTTCGTCCCAAAACCCAAATCTCAAATCCCCTGGTATTCCAAGTATTTCAACAATCCACCAGGGAGGCTAATTTCTCTTATAGCAACACTCACTCTGGGGTGGCCCCTGTACTTGGCCTTCAACGTCTCAGGCCGTCCCTACGACCGTTGGGCGTGCCACTACGATCCCTACGCCCCAATTTTCACAAAGAGAGAATGGATTCAAGTTTACATCTCCGATGCGGGGATTTTGGGCATGGCTTTTGTGCTATACCGCATTGCTATGGCGAAAGGGGCGTTTTGGGTCATGCGTATTTACGGAATACCGTTGCTTATCGTGAATGGGTTTTTAGTTTTGATCACGTTTTTGCAGCACACACACCCTGCGTTGCCGCACTACGATTCTTCGGAATGGAATTGGCTGAGAGGGGCTCTGGCGACTGTGGACAGAGACTATGGGGTACTGAACAGAGTGTTTCATAACATAACGGACACGCATGTGGCGCACCATTTGTTCTCGACGATGCCGCATTATCATGCTAAAGAGGCGACGGAAGCGATAAAGGCAGTACTGGGAGAGTATTATCGGTTGGATAGGACCCCTGTTTTGAAGGCCATTTGGAGGGAGGCTAAAGAGTGTGTTTATGTTGAGGCTGATGAGGATGCTAATTCTGAAAAAGGAGTTGTCTGGTACCGTAAGAATCTCTGAGTGAACATCAAAATGGTGGCAGCTACAAGTTTAATATTAGTATTATTATTTTCCTTTTAAACTTCTCTGTGTTTGAAGGAAGATAGTGTTCTTGCGAGGATGGATGAATGAGGATGAACCTTTTGAACATGTGTCTTTAATGTTTGTAAATCTCTTTATCCGGGCGCTTATTAATGTATATATTGGCATGCTTTAACCTCGTAGAAACTATGCATCGACTAAGCTCACTCTAATCCGTTATCTATCTCACAATTTTTAAAACGCGTCTGTTAAGGAGAGGTTCTCATACTCTTATAAGGAATGCTTTGTTCTCCTCTCTAGAGCTTAATGTCCTCGCGTGCACACCACCCTATGTCTAGCTCAAGTACCATTTTGTAACAGCTCAAATCTACCGCTAGCAAATATTGTTTGTTTTGGCTCGTTATGTATCTCTGTTAGTTTCACGATTTTAAAACCGTCTACTGTAGAAAAAGTCTAAATCCTACTCCGACTAGTGCCTTGCACGGTTCGAAAACTTGGCTCTAATATCATTTATAACGGCTCAAACTTATAGCTAGCCGATATTGTCTTTTTTGGACTTTCCCTCTTTGGCTTCTTTTGAAGGTTTCCGCCCCCTTATAACCGACAACCGACAACCAAGGAGGAATCTCAACTATAACTAATTTTCAAGGCACTATAAACTAATCTATCTCTTGTCCTGCTCAACCTTCTTCGTAGTCACATAAGCTGGATCAACATCATGATATCGACATATTTATAAAAGTATTAAAGTTGGATGTCTATCAATCTCGACCTCCAAACCATTCCTTGAATTGGAAATTAGTTGATTTCCCTTCATTCAGACATTTTCGATTGGTTCGTGTAAAAGAAGTTAGACCCCGAATTATAAATCTCCTATTGTACCTACTATGTCAGATGAACCTAAAATCTCGGTTCAACAAGACATTGCCAACAAAAAAAATTAGAATGCAGACATTTAAATTATTGAGCTAGTCGTCTCAAGTCTATCCTTATAAAAAAGATACTTATATTTGTAATCAAATTAATTAATTGTTTAACATTTAAAAATGATTTTAATTATTTTATTTATAATATAATATTATTCATTGATAACAAGGTTATTAAAATAAATAAATAAGTAGGTGCGTAAAAGATATCATAATTAACCCTAATAAATCTTGAAAGGATAGCAATATCTGAAAGTAAAATGGAATGGAGCATAAATGAATAATATAGATGCTCTTTTTGTGATTACTTTTACTCCTAAAGCATATATCGATTATATTTATCACATGATACGAGCATTTAGGCTATAGATAGGTATTATAGATAGGTATTATAGATAGGTATTGGATGGGACATTGATGGCCTAGGTTTAGATTCTTAGATTTTCAGGGACGAACTCGTTCTCCATAATAATTCAACTTTAAATTTATACTTCTAATTATTTTCTCTCCGATTCAAACTCACCATTTAAATTAATTTATTACCATTTTCATACTTAAAATTAGATTCATTATATTTTAATATTTTTTTCTAAATTTATCTCTTCCAAAATTGGAAGAATTTGGTGGGAAATTCTTAAATAATATAGCCGAATTAATTTATCATTAGTGAAATTAGCATTGGGCCTGGGCTTCCAATGTATTGGGTGGGACAGGCCCAGTGATGATAGTGAGAGATGGCAGTTTTGAGAATATAGTAAAAGACGAGGGGAGATTTGTAGTTTGGATTATAATAAATAATTAATAAATTCTGATTCCTTTGAAGGAATAGTATGACACGTGTCATGATGAAGTTCCATCTGACGACTAAATCGCAACCGTCCATCTGTCGTCCTGTCTACTCTAAATTCCCAGAGGGGGGCTCTCGAACCGACTCAAATGAGTTTCGTCGAGAAATCGAAATCGGTAAGAGAGTTGAGAGATCCATTTACAATTTCCGAGTAAGAGGAAGACGGAAAATCTATAAAGCTACATAAGGATTTTCTGCACTTCTTGTCTTGAATCTTCTCTCAACAGAGGGGATTCTTAGGGTTAATTCGTTGCGGATATTTTTGATTCTTGTTTCTCGTTTGCGATTAGGGCATATTAATTCTCTGGTTCGCGATTAGCAATTATCGATTAGCGAAATAGCGAGGTTAGATCTTATCACGATCAGAATCCGATGATAAATCAAGCTCAAATGATTAGTATGAGCCATCCGCAGATGGCAAACCAGCCTCATGCAATCAATCAGTCTCAATCTCAAGTTATGAACCAGCCACCGGTGATTAATCAACCTCAATTTCTGAACCAAAGCCAGTTAATGAACCATTCTCAGATGATGTCTCAGTCCCAGCCTCAGGGTATGCAGCAGTCCCCGATGATGATGAGTCAATCTCAGCCGCCTATGATGACTGGCAACTATAAGGCATGGGCTCGCCCGCTGCCCCCCTTGGATCCTAACAAGAAGTATCGCAACTTTACGAAGCCTAAGTATGGAAACATGAAGCAGTCGAGGCCAGGGCGTGGAAATTGGAAGGGTAAGGGCGTTGGTGACAAAAGGATAAACAATAGGAGAACGGAAAATTCTTTACCGGGTTCCATAAGCTGTCCAAATAATTCTAGTGGAGGGTATCAACCTCCAAGTCTTCACGAGTTGCAGTCTCAAAATCGTATAAAAGCTCGAAATTTTTACTCGAAAAAGAAGTTCAATAGTAGGTTTGCACCTTATGCGCCTCGGAATACCACGTCTTTTATAATTCGTGCGAAGAAGTCTGGTGGAATCGCTTCCCTTGTGTCCCCTTGTCCCGTAACACCAGCTGTGCTTCCTACTCCAATGTTCTCCCCTTCGAGGGAGGCGTTGGGTGATATGGCCAAGGAGGAGTGGGGCGTTGATGGTTATGGATCAATGAAAGGATTAATAAGGCTTCGAGGGTCTGAGAATAAGGCGGAAGTGCATGAAGAGGAAGAAGAGGAAGGTGGTGGTGGGTCGAGTGATAGTGAAGTCGAGGAACATCTAGAGGTAGAACGTAAATTGGACCATGATTTGAGCCGATTTGAGATGATATATCAGAACTATGGAGTAGAGTATAATAATTGTTTGGAAAATAGGGTCGATGATCAGGATAGCCATATAGCTCAGTTGGAGGAGGAGAACTTGACGCTGAAGGAGAGACTTTTTCTTATGGAGAGAGAGCTTGTTGAGTTGAGGAGGAAGTTGCAACATCTCGAGGGGCAAAACCCAGTTGTTGATGATGTGAATGAGGAGGTAGTGGATAACGTGTCTGAGAATGAAAGTGATGGAGGGTTGGAGATGGAATACGTATCTGAGATTAGACCAAACCAAGATGTTGATGGTGGTTCTAAGGGGGGCGATGAAAAGGAGGTGTTCGAGATTGAGGGTGAGGAGAAATGTGTAGGGGAAGATTTTACTATTGGGACAGAGGTTGAAGAGAAATACATAGTGAAGGATGAAATGGTGAAAGAATCAGATGAGCAGCTTCCTGAGGACGAAGTAGCGAAAAATGAAGAAATGAAGGGGGAACTTGCATCTGGCAAGGTAAATGAATGCGAGGATATGGATGAAAATTTTGGTAATATTTTGCACTCGGATTCAGGGAATGGAAATGAAGCCATGGTCAATGATGAAGAAGAGCAGACCAGAATTGTACCTGTAAACATAGTTGCAGATGTAAAGTGTACTAACAGTGAAGAGTCAAAGGAGGATTCTGTAACAGGACACGACTGTTGTTAAGGATAGGCTTCCTTCGAGAGAAGTGCTTGCATAACTGATTAATTTTGTGTAAACGTAAGCCACTTTCCTGGAGAGGCGCTTTCTCGGAATTCCATTGTTACCTTTATCTTCTGCAGCTTCTGGTTACATACTTCTGACTGATATTTTTCTTTAGAACCTTTATTTCTCGTTGGAAACAGCTGATGTTTCTTAATCAAGTCTGCTTGTTGTTTAGCTTAACTCTCAGGTCTTTTGTGTTAGATTCTAGGTTTTATATGTTTTGGTGTAATATACTCTGTAGTAAATGTGATGGTTTAATCTGCTGAAGATGCTAGCTTGTGTTTTATCCCTCTTTTATTAAATTTATAAATCTATACATCTATTTTCCAGCATTTTTTTTTATATCAAGTTATCAAAGAATCACTGTGTCAATTAAATTCGTTGAGATTGGGATGGAGGATTTGGATAATTTTTTTTATGAAGATCATAGAAGTTCTCTTTCTTTATTGAGAAATGTGGGCTAGAAGTAAATGAAATCCCTCCTTATTCTCCAACTATTGTAAGACAGCGTTCATTTGGTTATCTCATGGCCTTTTTGAAGGGTTTTCTTTTTCGTCTTGTTTGTGGGTTCTTGAGCTTTTGGTGTTTGTAGGGGTCTATTGGCGGGGTTTTCAATGGTCCTCGTTGTGGCGGCAGTTTTTGGTGTTCTCCTCTCCAGCCTGGTGGCCACCAGTTTGGCGGGTTTTGCTTGGTAGAATTAGGAATCTATAGTAGTTGGGGTTTTGGTTTTGTCTTAGGGTTCCATGGTTGTTGATGACTTTGACGTTTTCTCACAATTTAAATTTCAAAGGTCTCCTGGGTTTGAAGGTTGTGGCAGTCATAGTCAGCACTTTTCTATGGCTTTCCCTTTGAATTTTGTTTTATTATTGGTTCAGTTCTTTTTTACTATGTGGAGTTTGTTTTGGCTTTAAAGAATCTTAGAAAGCACGTTTCTCGTTGAGCTAGTCTACTTTGAATCCGTTTCTCATGCTTCATTTCTTCTTAGATTTTATAAGTTTTGTGGGCATTCAGCAGGCGAGCATTAGTTGATTTCCTTTTGGTGGTGATGGTAGCATTTTGTGAACATAAGTAAATCAAAGTTCGTACCAATTGTATGAGCTTCTTTTAGTGTGCATCCCGAGAAGAATGATGTGAGCTGTTTGTGCCTTTTCAACTTCTGTTACTCTTGATATTCATCTTTTATCATTTTTATGGGTGAGTTACATTTTTTTCAAGCAAAGACTTCGTGTATTCTTCTCGAATTGGCCTCCCATCTCGGGATTCTGGATTTCTTGTATCTGTCTCGGTTTGTCGATATTGATAAAATTGGAACTAACAGTTTCCTGTGTTCTTGAAAATTTGGTTGCTAGAGGCTGAACAGGTCACTTTGAAGGAACCATTGAAAGGTATATCAGATGCGTGATTTGCATGCATGATGCATTTGTCGATTGGGAAATGAGCTGTAGACGTAAGCTTACTTCTGATGTAGTTGCTTCGTTGAATAGACAGTCATGAAAGCATTTGTGACCTTGTCGTGCAGTTCTTAGTTTAATAATTGGTAACAAGCAGAATTTCGTTGAGAGGGCCTTAGTGTTTTATTATTCTTTTAATGTAATAATAGTCCTTTTCAGATCTTTGGCGCTCGGGCAGTGGCATTCAAGTCTAACTCTTCTTTGGCTGGTGGATTTGTCCTCACCATCCAAGATCGTACGGAGGTGCCTGTGCTTGTTGTCATATTTTTATCTCACCCGTATTGAAACTAGTATTATTATTGATTGCACTTGAAATTAGCTCAACCAATCATCAAAGTTCACCTCTGGTTATGTACTTTTTTTGTTGTGATTTTGAAGCTAGGCTATGCCAGCTGCAAGTGAAAAGTGCGCTTGGGAGGTTTTTTAACCTGATTCTGACGAGCCCTGAAGGAAAAAACAAGAGTATGGATTTGGGGTGATGAATTTGATTTTCATGATATTTATTGATATATTCAACTTGATGAAGTACAGATAGTGAGGACGCCAAGAGCATCTCTTAATGCATGGTTTTTCACCTCCGTTGATGAACAAATAAGATGTTTTGATAGCCCCGTGGTTCTCCGCTTCCCATCATTGTTCTAAACATAATCTGGCAAGTTGATCAACTGTGTAATAACCACCGTTGAAAAGAGCAACCAAATTTAGGGATATCTTACAGAAGTTGGAGCTTCAACCGGCTCTCCATTTCCACACGGTTCAAAACAGGCATCCATGGTAACATCGTGTGTTGTCTCCAGCTTTCCTTTTCCTCTAGAAATTGCTATCAGAAAGCTTTGACTTGCATCCGTTTTCTTTTGCAACATAAATGTGGTGCCCATACACTATTATAATGGTTCTGTATGTTCTTAGCAATTGCCAAATCAACTCAAGAAATCTTAAGTATGTTAGGCATCGAGAAGATTCAAATGTCTATACCCTGTACTTCAGAAATAGAGGAAAGTGAAGAACTAATTTACTTTGTTTCCTCTTCAGATGCGGAAGGTTCCCGGAGGGAGACAAATATTGGGTGTTCAAACAGCCCTTTGCTTCATCTCCAAAAGTCTGAATGGTAGAGGATATGGCACCTTAAAAGGAAAAGAACGCCTTTGCCATCAGTAATAGCTTCTAAACTGTCTTTCATATATACACATATATACACATACATACCTTGACATTTTAGTTTACCCATATCCCCTGTTTTAAAAAAGAAGAATTTTATTGAATTTTCACACCCTACGTCACTACATAGTCGTATGTGGTTTGAGTCTCTCGAAAAGTGGATCTTTCGCTCATAGTAGATTTAACTTTCCTAGAAGGCTTGCCAGAGAATGCTGGTGTGGGTTTCTTCTCTTTATTTCTTAAGTTTATTACCTAAATGATGTTTATCCAACTTACCCCAACTTATGGCCCATAGTAGATTTAACTTTCCTAGAAAGCTTGCCAGAGAATGCTGGTGTGGGTTTCTTCTCTTTATTTCTTAAGTTTATTACCTAAATGATGTTTATCCAACTTACCCCAACTTATGGCCCGTCTCCGCCGCTTGCCACCCTCGGCACGGTGCATCTACCGTGCCTTGAGTTTCTTCTTAAGAGAGGCAGTTCTCACTCTCAAACAGTGAGATCCCATATTTATTGGAGAGAGGAACGAAACATTTTTTTTGTATGAGTGTGAAAATCTTTGATTAGTATATGCGTTTTAAAGTCTTGACAGAAAGCACTTGAAGGAAAAGTTTTGAGAGGACAATATAGAACAGATCACTTATCAAGATCGGTAAATAGCTCAAAAACGTTTTCATACCAATTGGTTAAGGATTTGTGAACTAATACACTTGAATAATTAAATCGGTGAATAATTAGGTAATATCTTTTTTTAAAACATGCTTTTGTTTCTTCAATTTCTTAACACATTTCAATGCATATCCCATACACAATACGCCTCACATCACAGTGTCCACTAAGCCTGCACCAAACTATAAACAAAACAAGCAAAAAGCAAAACATCAAGTTGTACCATTTGACATCAACGGATGCGTACTCTTCTTTGTAAGCTCGCCTCACGTACCAACAAACACTTTAAGCCTAAAATAATCTCTGTAGTGGGCGATATGCTTCTCAATTATAGTGATTGTGCATGCACTCGAGTTTGCATGCCCAAACGTGCTTTACCCACCTACTAAAAGCTACTCCACGTTGTTGCATGAAACTAAATAATATGCATTCCACCATTCTCAATCGTCTACCAATCCCTTATTGCTCCTTATCTCGGCCGCCCATGCATCACAAACAACCCAAATTAAACTATAATTTATCACACTATAAATTAAGCCCCTTCATCACTTAGGGAATCACAATTTGTGTGAGAGTTGTAGCCATGGAAACCTCCAGCTGCAGATTAAAGGGTCATTTTGCTTTGCTTATGATTGTCTTTCTCATGCTGTGTGGTGCCACAAGGGCACAGTTAACTGTGGATTTCTATAAGAGCTCGTGTCCAAACCTTCTCAGAATCGTGAGAAGAGAAGTCGTGAAAGCTATAAAGAGCGAGATGAGAACGGCAGCTTCACTCCTTCGCTTGCACTTCCACGACTGCTTTGTTAATGTAAACACGCACTTTTTAAGCACAGTGTTTTAAACAATATATTGTAATGATTTTTGTATCTTTGTGTTCTCAAACAAGACAGGGTTGTGACGGATCAGTGCTGTTGGATGGAAGTGATGGGGAGCAATTTGCACTTCCCAACATCAATTCTCTTAGACGGCTTGAAGTGATTGATTCAATCAAAAGCGCGGTGGAGAATTCTTGTAGCGGAGTTGTGTCATGTGCTGATATATTAACCTTAGCTGCTAGAGACTCTGTTCTATTGGTAATATGAACAAATTGAATGAAGAAATTAATAAAACTAGTGTGTTCTCTGTTGATACATTGAAGATTTTGCAGAGTGGAGGACCAACATGGAAGGTTTTACTGGGGAGAAGAGATGGATTGGTGGCCAACAAAACTGGAGCAGATCAGGTACTGCCCGCTCCATTTGAGAACATTGATGGTATCCTCAAGAAGTTCACTGATGTTGGCCTTGATCTCACCGACGTCGTTGCTTTATCTGGTGCGTAAACATTGTTGAGGATGGTTGGGAGGGAGTCCCACAATTATCATGAATTTATAAGTAATGAATACGTCTCTTTTGGTATGAGTCCTTTTCGGGAAAGTCCAAAACAAAGCCACGAGAGCTTATGCTCAAAGTGCACAACATCATACCATTGTGGAGAGTCGTGATTTCTAACATGATATCATAGTCGTACTCTTAACTTAGTCATGTTAATAAAATCCTCAAATGTCAAACAAATAAATTGTGAGCCTCGAAAGTGTAGACAAATGTGATCTATGTGTCGAACAAGGAGTATATTTTGTTCGAGGACTCTAGAGGAGTCGAGGCTCGATTAAGGGGAGGCTGTTCGAGAACTCTATCGGCCTGTACTTTGTTCAAGAGAAGGCTTGTTGGGAAGGAGTTCTCACAATGATCATGGGTTTATAAGTAATTAATGCAACTCCATTGGTATGAGGTCTTTCGGGAAAAACCCAAAGTAAAACCATGAACGCTTATGTTCAAGGTGGACAGTATCATACCATTATGGAGAGTCGTGATTTCTAATAAACATATACACCAAAATAGGCCCGATTGATTGATAGTAAAGATAGGATTTTTTAATGATATGATTGATTTTGGTATCAGGAGCCCACACAATTGGGTTTGCAAGGTGTGCGATGTTCAACAATAGGCTATTCAACTTCTCAGGGAGTGGGTCGCCAGACCCCACCATGGAGAGCAGAATGGTGTCGGATCTGCAGGCGTTGTGCCCTCTCACCGACGATGGCAACAAGACCACAGTGCTGGACAGGAACTCTACGGATTTATTTGACAACCATTACTACAAGAACTTACTCAACCAAAAGGGGCTGTTGGAATCAGACCAAATTCTGTTCTCCAGCGCTGCAGCTCAAAGCAGCACAAAAAGCTTGGTGGAAGATTACAGCTCAAACACGACGCGTTTCTTTGAAGACTTTGTCAGGGCCATGATCAAGATGGGGAACATAAGCCCACTCACGGGCTCTAATGGAGAGATCCGAAAGAATTGTAGAGTGGTTAATTCCTAAGTATATAGATTCCCTTCCCTTGTATCAATAAATTACACAACTTTTTAAGTAGAGCTTATTGGGTGGTTCACCACTTAATTAGAACCTATCGAGTCATCTAGCACGATGTGAACTCGAGCATCGAGATATTAGTTGTCTCCACAGTTTGCTCAGTATACTTGTTAAAGTTTAAACTATCTTTATGTTTAATATCTCTCGAACATCCATCTATTTGGACACTACATGAACTCTTCCATGTCCATGTAGAGTGTTTATACACACTCTGTCAAAGTTCAGTCCTACGTTGCAACCTCTTATCCATAGAAGGGATGCAACGTGACATTGTCCAAGAAATCTCAGTCTCAAAAGAAAATGTCTCATGGTCGCACACACAACGACGCATAGGTTTGTCTTTAACATGGTTACGACAAAATCTTGACTTTTAAGGGGCACCTCCATTAAGTTTGTCTTTAACATCATTAACGACATTGATGCTTCTAATCTTACTAACGTTTTACCTTAACATTCTTACACATTCTTCTTTATCCGTTAAATGATGCACTGTCCTCTTTTTGGCCCTTGACATTGTTCAAGAGACTATACTCACGTGTTATCATTACCCTTATCCATAATACGAGGTTCATGATTGCTAACACCAATCTTTTAAAAAATTTATCAAAAGAATATCCACATGTAATATTCCTCGAAATGTTTTGTTTTAATCTTTGAGCTTAGGTGTATTATAAGAAAAATAGGAACGCTCACATATATTTAAACCCAATTAATTGTGGACCAAACATTCACCATTATTTTTCATAAAGTTTTGTCTACTTTTCCCAAACCTTTTTCTTGTTCTTCTTCATAAACACCATTGTTTTTCATATTTTTAAACATTTCTTCCATGAAAATTGCAGACCCTCACAAATATTATATACTATTTCTTCACACAGACATGGAAAGATGCCTTACAACCATAAATGTTTTTTTTTTTAATATAATTGAGATCTCGACACATATTAATTAATATTAAACAGATAACCTTAAATATATCAAATAGGTTTACAAACATATATAATAACATAATTTTTATTCGAAAAAGGCAAACAAATATTTAAATTTATTTATAAACGACTAGAGAGTGACAAATTATTGAACGAAACTATTACAACAAAATTAAATGTGTATTTATTTTTAATATATTGAGTTAGGTGAGCTGCCTCTCCTTTCTCGAGTGGTGTGCACTACACACTCTCGATATTTTCTTTTTTTTTTTTTTTTTTAATTCTAAAATATATTAACCAAATATTAATTTTTTAAAAAAATTAGTTAGTGGGTTTGTTCTCTTTCCTTTGTATTATATAATACTTGAAGATAAAAATAATTAAATCATAAACCCTTTTGATTGTCTGTTGTTTTCATTTGGAAGACCAATGCCTTGGCCGCCCCACGTGGCTCTATACGCATGCTCTGCTCCAAATTATCTATAAAATGGAACCACCATGAGCCATCATCCACCCACACACGCCAACAAAATGGCTTCTAACTCCACACTCTTAGCCTTCCTCTGCTTGGTGGGTTTGATGGTGGGAGCCTCTCTGGCTCAGCTAAATCCTTCCTTCTACGCCAAATCATGTCCTAATTTAGCAAAAATTGTGAATGGCGTAGTCGCAAACGCGCTACGAACCGATGCTCGAGCCGGAGCTAAACTCATTCGCTTCCACTTCCACGACTGCTTTGTTAATGTAAAAACTAATCTTTGGCTATATCAAAATTTGGTATTTTTGTGAGTTTAAATGTGGATAGTAATTGCAGGGGTGTGATGCGTCTGTTTTGCTTGAGAATGCACCTGGCATCGACAGTGAACTAGACGCCCCTGGAAATCAAGGCATTCAAGGTCTTAACATCATCGACGACATCAAATCTGCTGTCGAAAAGGCTTGCCCACGTACTGTTTCCTGTGCTGACATCTTGACCATTGCCTCTAGAGAATCTGTCGTTCTGGTAAGTAATAAAAATCTGATCTTTATTCATCTTCTGGAGAACCCTTAATGAACAGAGTAATTTATGTGTGTTGAAGGCTGGTGGGCCGAGCTGGATTGTGCCATTGGGACGAAGAGACAGCCGAACAGCCAATAAGGAGGGAGCCACCAACAACCTCGCCAGCCCCTTTGAAGACCTGGATGGACTCAAAGCCAAGTTCTCTGTTTTCGGCCTCGACTCCACTGATCTTGTTGCTCTGTCCGGAGCACATACATTTGGGCGTTCAAGATGCGCGTTTTTCAGCCATCGTTTCGCGAATTTCAACGGCACCAACAGGCCAGATCCGACACTAGACCCAGCTTACAGAGAGCAACTCCGGAGGGTTTGTTCTAGCTCAGAGACACGAGCCAATTTTGACCCGACAACGCCAGACAAATTTGACAAGAACTATTACACCAATCTTCAGGGGCTTCGAGGGCTTCTTCAGAGCGATCAAGAACTGTTCTCTACTCGCGGGGCTGACACGGTGGCGATTGTGAACCGTTTCGCGAAAAACCAAGATGAGTTCTTTAAAAATTTTGGTCGGTCTATGATCAAAATGGGAAACATTAGCCCTTTAACTGGAAAGAAAGGAGAAATTAGATTGAACTGTCGGAGGGTTAATTCTCCACCAAGGGCCGATGAGGGGCATGATGTTATGTAAGATTGGTGGCGTTTTAAGTGCAGAGTTTGAGATGGAGAGGTTTTTTAATGTTGTTTTTAAGGTTGTGTATGTTTTGTTGTGTTGTGGTCTGAGTTTAACATAATGTATGAAGTTTGAATAATACTTTTAATATGTGATATTGGAGTAAGGGAAGTAAGACGGTGTGTGTTCCAACTTGTCTTATAAAAAGTTCATAAAAACAAAAATGTGAGTCAGCAACGTGGGAGACTACACTTTCGATGCTGCATCTCACAATTTGAGCATCAGATGCTAGCCCGTTACGTATAGTCGTCATCTTCATGATTTTAAAATATATTTACTATCAGGTCCCATGTCGGTTGAAAAGGGGAACAAAACATCTATGTAACAGGTCATTGCAGACAATATCTACTAGAGGTGGCTTCGAGCTATTACAAATGGTATTAGAGCCAGACACCGAGTGATTTGTCAGGAAGCTGGCCCCCAAGGGATGGACTATGGAGGTCCTACGTCGGTTGGAGATGGAAATGAAACATTCCTTATATGGGTGTAGAAACATTTCCGTAACAAATGCGGTTTAAGACTGTGAGGCTGATAGTGACGCATTTTAAGACCGTCGGCTGACAGCGATGCGTTTTAAGACGATGGGGCTGATAGCAACGCGTTTTAAGACTGTAAGGCTGACAGCGGTGCATTTTTAGATAGTAAGACTGACAACTATGCATTTTTAGATGGTAAGGCTGTCAACTATGCATTTTTAGATCGTAAGGCTGACAGCTATGCATTTTTAGACCGTAAAGCTGACAGCGATGCATTTCTAGACCATAAGACTGACAACAATGCGTTTAAGATCATAAGGCTGACAGTGATGCGTTTTAAGATCGTAAGGTTGATTAGCAATGCGTTTTAAGATCGTAAGGCTGACAGTGATGTGTTTTAAGATCGTAAGGCTGACAACAATGCGTTTTAAGATCGTGAGGCTACAGCGATGCAATTTAAGATCGTGAGGCTGACAGCAATACGTTTTAAGATCGTGAAGGTGAGAGCGATGCATTTTAAGATCGTGAAGCTGATAGCGATACATTTTAAGATCGTGAGGTTGACAACGATACATTTTAAGGCAAGACGATACATTTTAAAATCGTGAGGCTAACGGGTGATACATAACGAGACAATATTTACAACATTGAAACACAAACTCCAAAACGAAAATCTTCCTACAATTGAATTACTATTATAATACTTCAAACCCAAAATTTCCAATTGCTCATGCTTTCAAGAACACCGGTGGATCAAACCCCAAGTGCATACCAGAGGCAGCTTCGTGGATCCTTCGTGGCTATCGCCATCAACGGAGACTTCAAAACCCTTACAAAGTAAAATGTCAATATTACCCTTACTGACCCTCATATTAAAACCATATAAAATGATTTTTCAAAAAACAAGAATTGAATTAGTCAAATGAAACATGGTTTGACTGACTCGATCGGATAAAGGTTAGGTGGGGACCATAAAAAACAAGACTTTCTGTATTTATTATTTAAATAATTAAATTAGTCTTACCAATCAGCTACCGCCACGTGTCCAACACCCTTACACTTGGATCCCCTACCGCAAGTTTCCCTCCGCCTTTTCCTGTATAAATATTTCGATATATCATTTAATTAGTTCCACGCTTAATTAAAACTATTTATATTTTCATTATTACCTTAACAATTTTTATTTTTATTTTTTGTTGATAGCTTATATTAATATATAATAATAGGTTGGTTTAAATTACATTATCTCCAAAGGAAAAAAAAAAAAAAAAACTTTTGACCAATAGGATAATGGTTGGAATTTAATTCTGATTTAATAATAAAAAAAAAGTCTGATTAAAATTTAAAATTTTAAATAAAGTAGAGGTTGAATAAAATTTTAAAGATAAAACCATTTTTTAAAACAATAATTATGCTTAAATCAATATTACTTGTAAAAAAATCCATAGACTAAAACTTAAAATTTTAATCAAAGAATAGACCACAAACATAATATTAAGTTTTAAAAAATTATTCTGAGATGTTTCTTACATTAAATTTTAAAAAAAACATATTAAACCCATAAAATCTTATAGAAAAAGAAAAAGACAAAGTAGATAAATTGACATTATTATATTTTAAATGACGTGGAAAATGACATTATTATTATGAAATTATTTGAAATAATAAGGATTAGGTACTTAATCCTAGTAAACAAATAATATAATTAAAATATAACTCAGGAATTCAACCTATATAGATAGATATTGAAAACATGTCTACATATACTATTAATATATTATTAATGTATAATTTAAATTATTGACAAAGTTTTCAATTGAATGATTAATATGACCGGTTGCACAAAATAATGGATATTCTTAATAAGGCGTAGAACTTGTAGTATTTTATATATATAGGTTAAAACATTTTCGTCAAAAAAACCATTAAACTAGTGCAAATTGGAGTAAGAAATTTAAATTGAAAATTAATTTAATCATAAGATGAGAATGAGCCAATAGCAAACCATAATCTCAAATTTAAAAATTTTAGATTTAATTAATGAAAATAATAACCTTGAATTCATCGCAAACTTGTCGTCCAAGCGCATGGCTGTGTATAAAAAAGGAACCTCCTTTCCACTATCTTCACAAAACCAAAGCAATGGCTTCCCCTAAACTTGTAGCCTTTGTTGCGGCGGTGGGTTTGATGCTGGCCGGGGCCTCTCACGCTCAGCTTAGCCCCTTCTTCTACACCTTCACATGCCCTCAGCTGCCTTTTATTGTTCTCAACGAGGTCTCGACAGCTGTTGAAACCGATGATCGAGCAGCTGCCAAGCTCATTCGCCTCCACTTTCACGACTGCTTTGCCAATGTATAGTTTCAATTATGGTACTTTCTGATTGTAATGAGAAAACCTGAAATAATGTTTTTGGATGTGCAGGGGTGTGATGGGTCTGTGCTACTGGAGGACGTGCCGGGCGTCATCGACAGTGAATTAAACGCAGGTGCCAACAATGGGATCCAAGGGCGGGAAATTGTGGATAAAATCAAAGCAGCCGTTGAAAGCTCTTGCCCTGGCGTTGTGTCCTGCGCTGACATCTTAGCGCTGGCTTCTCAAGTTTCTGTTGTATTGGTAAGCAATCAAGATGGACCCAATTTACAAAATTGTGAATTTTGTTAAATGGAATAAACAATTTGTGAATTTTGATAGTCTGGCGGGCCAGCCTGGGTGGTTCTACTGGGAAGAAGAGACAGCAGAGTAGCGAACAGAGCCGCAGCAGAGGATCTTCCGAGTCCGTTCGAAACTCTGGATATACTGAAATCGAAATTCAAGGCGTTTGGGCTTGATTCTAGAGACCTTGTGACGCTGTCAGGAGCGCACACGTTCGGTCGATCCAGGTGCTTTTTCTTCTCTGGAAGGTTCGACAACTTCAACAACACCGGCCTCCCAGACCCGACTCTGGATGCTGCTTACAGGGAGCAGCTTCGTCAAGCATGCACCACACCAACAACACGAGTGAATTTCGATCCCGTGACACCAGACATATTCGACAAAAACTACTACACCAATCTTCAAAGCCTGAAAGGACTTCTCCAAAGTGATCAAGAGCTTTTCTCCACTCCTGGGGCTGATACCACTGCCATTGTCAACGAGTTCGCCGCCAGCCAGTTTCGATTCTTTATTCAATTTGGGAATTCCATGATCAAATTGGGGAACCTCATGCCTCCACCTGGGACACCATCGGAGGTGCGATCGCAGTGTAGGCTGCTCAACCCATCCAGTCCTGCCCATGATGTTATGTAACTTGGTGTGCACCAATGTAATGTTAATGTGTGTTTATGTGTTTAATGAAATAAGGTAATTGGGTTTGGACTTCGTGGTTGTTAGAGTCAGTGGGGAGATCAATAAATGTGGAGTGTGAAAGGAAGCGTTCTTAATTCTGGTGTGCGGAACTAATTACCCATCATTATTTGTATTATCATGAGTTGAAAAACCAAGATATTGTTTTTTAATCTAATTAAATCTGTTAAAATAAATAATAACTTAATTTATTAGAAATGAAAAGATATACTCTGTTTCATACTTTTTAGAGAAAAAGAAAAAAAGAAAAAAGAAAAATAGATGTAGAGAGAGAAAAAGGCAAAGTATGTTAGAAATAAAAATATATATTTCCTGCATCTACTTTAAAATTAATAAGTAAATATAAAATGAAAATTAAAATATAGTTATTGGTGAATTTTGAATGGCAACTTGTGTGGTAGAAGCTCATGGATTAATGTGTATAAAAGGAAGCTCCATTCCACTACTTCTTCGCAAAACCAACAATGGCTTCCCCCAAGCATACAGCCTTCGCCGCGGTGGTAGCTTTTATGCTAGCCACCACTCACGCGCAGCTCAACCCTTTCTACTACGCTTTGACATGCCCTCTCCTCCCCGGGATCGTCCTCGACGTGGTCTCCCGAGCTTTAAAGACCGACGACCGAGCTGCTGCTAAGCTCATCCGCCTCCATTTCCATGATTGCTTTGTCAATGTAACTTTTCACTATACATCATTTCAATTTCCTCCTTGTTATTGTTCTCATGATACCCCAATTGCTTGCCTGTGTACAGGGGTGCGACGGCTCTGTTTTGCTGGAGGATGCACCAGGCATCGACAGTGAACTAAACGCACCTCCCAACGATGGGATTCAAGGGGGTGACATCGTGGACAACATCAAAGCAGAAACAGAACGCTTCTGTCCGGGCGTTGTCTCCTGCGCTGACATCCTAGCCATTTCGTCTCAAATCTCTGTTTTCTTGGTAAATCAATAAAGATTGAAGCTTTGTGTTAGTTTGTGTTTCTTTTACTAATTGGGGTTGTTAATTGCAGTCAGGAGGGCCAATTTGGGTAGTGCCATTGGGTAGAAAAGACAGCAGGATAGCCAATAGAACAGGAACCTCAAATCTCCCCGGTCCATCAGAAACTCTCAAAGGACTCAAAGACAAATTTGGGGCTCTTGGGTTTGATTCAACCGATCTCGTGGCTCTATCAGGAGCCCACACGTTCGGGAAATCCAGATGTATGTTCTTCAGTGGACGCTTCGACAACTTCAACAACACCGGCAGACCCGACCCAACGCTCGACCCTGCTTACAGGGAGCAGCTCCGACAACTCTGTACAACCCAACAAACAAGAGCGAATTTCGATCCAACCACACCGACCAAATTCGACAAAGCTTATTACAGCAATCTCCTGAACCTGAAAGGCCTTCTCCAAAGTGACCAAGAGCTCTTCTCCACACCCAGGGCTGACACGACTGCCATCGTCAAGAACTTCGCCGCCAACGAGCGTGCGTTCTTTAAACAATTTGTGAAATCCATGATCAAAATGGGTAATCTCAAGCCGCCTTCCGGCATCAGATCAGAAGTCAGATTAAACTGTAGAAGGGTCAACGCAGCCAGTGGGCATGATGTTATGTAATATCATTCCTCTTGTAACCTCAATAATCAAAGCTTCAGCTTTGAAGATCTATCTATTTCATCCACTAGCGTCGGATATCAAACCCAAATCTAAACATTAATTAAAAATCCAACATGATTAATTAAATTCTCTATGCTTTAACATAACGTCAATTGGGTCACTTTCTATAATCTAAAAAAAAGTGATGCCATAGTCAAAGTTGAGACCTTTGGAACTAGCAGCCATGGCAAAGATTTTAATTTTAAAAACATGAAATCCGAGTAGGTAATTGTGAAGAAGATTGAGGGCTTATTTGCAAAATGAAAATAAAGTATGTTCAATAATGGATCCAAAGCCGCCGGTAATTTATGAGATTAATTATTTTTTAATAGTCAAAATTGGAGGAATTTAAATGAAAAAGTTAAAAAAAAGTTGAGTGGTTGAGATTGATTCAACGAAACTATCGAATGGTTGTAATTTAATCAAGGTAAGTAATTAATAAATGTACTGTCCTTGGACGACGTCGTATCGATTGGTCTATTCTCATTCATCTCCAAGGCCTAATCTTAGCCCTACATTTATGACTCAACATTGATCGTACACATGTGAAAGCGAGTAGCTTTTTATCCAAACTCTAACGCGTTTTGAATTAAATTTTTAAAAAAATCCTCATTTTTTCTAATTTTTTAATTTGAAAAAGTCTATTTTAAATTTTAGAAAAATCATTTGGCCGACATTAAATATGAGATATAATGTTTTTTTATATATATATATATATAGTAAATGAGATAATGTTAATAAATAGGGTTACCCAACTCGAAAATTGCAACATATTTATGTGAAAAGGATAACGTTTTTTCAACCATTTCCTCCTACTTCACATCTTCATTCATTTATTTTCCCTACGCAACACGTGACACGCCTGATTTTAATCAATTAAGGTACTATTTTTTGGTATCATAAAATAAAAATAAAAATTTATGAAAATATTTCATGAAAGATGTTATGGACTTAAACGCCCATAGTTAATTCGTTTAACACCACGTTGTTATCAGCAACATAATGAAAAAATAGATGACATAAATTTAAATAAAATAAAGCAACGCTCTAATCTAATATAAGGGCTACTAAACCAACAATGAATGTAGCCGTCATCCCAACTTTACCTTTATGACCTCCACATCGATATTGCTATCCCTTCAAGGGTGTCTTACTTTTATCTGTAAAAGAAGTAGTGCATGAGTTAAATATTTAAAAATGGAAACCCAGTCACATGCAATCATGATCAGACATATCTTTTCATAAAATAGCATGTCTTTAATTTTTATCTTCTAATCCAAGAACTAATTGGATGTACAATACTTCTCTTACCCATGATCCATGTATGCACACATGAACCCTCAAGCGTGCTTATATTATAGTATGTTTTACGTCGAAGAACATAATAATTTATTTTAATTATAAAATGGAAATATGGAATATTAATGAGATAAGATAATATATTGTTATAAAAGAGAAAGAAGAGGTAAAAAGGTAAAAAAAGAAGGTGTCCTCACCTTTGGGAATCTTGAAAAATACATGATTCGAAAGTGCATTGAGATATCTCTCGTATGAGTATTCTAATACACACGAGCACTTGAAATACTCGAGTATCTAATACTTTTGCAAATCAAATAAATAATTTCGATGGTAAAAAAAATTGACGGTTTTAATTTTGATTTTTAGCTATCGAAAAATCCTTTAAATGAAGATATAATATAAATAACATTACACGTTATACCATCATTTATTTCGAGATGAGATTAGAAAGAAAGTAAAAACGAAAAAAAAAAAAAAAAAATCAATAGAATGAATCATAATCATGAAATCATATAATCAATTGTGTTGAATAGAAAAAGAGTTTGAATTCAAGGAAGAAGGCTACAGGTGGGGCCCATTATATTTAATTACATGCCACCTTTCTTTCATCCTATAATGTGCATTATTTTTTTATTTTAATGAGTATTAAAGAATCTAAATAGAATATTATTTATTCTTACGAAATAGAAAATAAGAATAATATTCTAAAATAAAAGGAGAGAAATTAAAGAAAAAAGCATCTTCATGTTTGAATATTTTAGTGTATGATTAAGAATTAAACTTTTTTACTCTAATTTTATTTTCAAAATACAAATTTAATTGACGTCATTTATTAAACATTATATATATATATATATAT